TTATTGACTATTTACCTGTATTTGTAAGCAGCCTGGTTTGGAAAAGTTCATACTGTTATGTGAATTAAATCAGCATTCAAAACAAAAACACTCTTCGATACACAAATAATCACGCTTTTGTTTATATTATTCTTGCACTTTAATAGGTATCAAAGGAAACAGAAAATCAACGGCTGTACACTTAATTAGTTTTTAATGGATGATTTAACAATGCTTATACATTTCAGATTATGAGCAATAAAATTATGCATCACTGTCGATATACACAATTTGCAATATTGTGACATCCTCTGCTTTACCGCTGTTAAACCATGCATTTTCTGTTCCTTTTTGGATTTTCCATAGGAACTGAGTTGGTCTGGTGGTTTGTGATAGTCATATCACCCTTATTCTGCAATAAACAAACTAAATTGCCTGGTTAATCTGCCTCAGTTATTTGGGAGCTGATTATAATTTAGTCTTTATGTAATTTCACACTACAGATACTTGAGGGGGGAAATAAAGAAAGAAAGAAAAAAATGAATGTGAGTAGTGTGGGGGGGGGACAGAAAGGAACATAATCCTTAGAGTCAGAAGATGCCAGTAAAAAATACTAACACCATTTGCTTCAAAGTAATGTTAATCATATAACTAACGCAATTTGTTTTCAATATAATAAATACATGTATTTAAGCTTTAAATAAATGTTTACTGAAACTATTTATTAGTATTAGATATACTATAATATCTGTAAAATTAACATAAAAAATTTTGTAACCATCAGAGAAATGTTAACATTTTAAACCATAAATTTTGCTGGACCTTGTGCATTTTGTGTCCATTAATGAAAGCTTTGCTGATGTATATGAGATAACTATCTACATGAATATTTGTCTATAACTGACTTAAAAGAAAATTTTAAGTTATTCAAGACTTTTCATTTAAGCCCTAAAATTTCATGATTATTCACTCAAATGTAAAAATGCCACATATAATATTATTTTAGTGCATATCAAATAATTACCACCACGTCACATGATATTACACATAAAAGTAATATCACAATGAATAAAAAATTCCTGCACTATTTAGAAACCTTTATGCATGAAAGAAACTAACTGGTTTTGAAAAACTATTATAAACAACCTGTAGCAATAGAAAACAATGAATTATTTATCAATAGCAGCCACTAAAACTCTGATATGTATATTTAATGTGATTACATAATATTTTTTACTACTTGACTTTATATATTACAAATTTTAGATAATTTTAAATATACTTTTAAAGACATACACCACACCTTTATAATAACAGCATATTCATTATTGAACAGAAAAGAACAATATAAAAACATAATTCAAATTCACATAAGCACAAATGATGACAAAATGAATACATACACAATTATCAATTTAAAAATAATATACATGCTTCCGATACTAGAGCAAGCTCAAAACATTACCCATGCATTTAAAAATACTACAGTAGCACAGAGTTATATTTTTTAACCACTCTTGATAAATCTTTCTCTATATTTGCCTTCAAGGCTTCCTTTCTTCTAAATAATAAATAAAATTTTGGAGGGTGGGGTGGGAGATGCATATACAGCTGTAGTAAGCTGGTAAAATTACCATGCATCTTAAACAATAAATAATGTAATACATGCAATAAATTAAACCTATATTATTAAATAAGGGCAGAGATTTTTAAACCATGCAATATGACCATATGCAAGTATGTTATGACCTTTCTTTAACACAAAACAAAGGAATCAGGAGACACTGATGAATAAATCAGGAGACGCTGATGGATGAACCATGATGTATAAACCAATGTTATGCACTGTATTAATGAAATAGTTTACTGTTAACGAGAACAGAGAAGAAATGATGCATACAGTCAAACTTCCATTAATGAACAGTTTGTAAATCCTTGGATACCCAAAATAAGAAATACCCAAACCACTATGCACTCCCATTTGGCAAACACTGCCCTAACCTTATTCCCATGGGTGTTCACTAATGGGAAGCTCAAATGTACATTTAAAAGCTGTATAAGTGTAGCTTGCATATATAGCACTTTACTCAATTTTACTCAAAATTTTTTACTCAATTTCAACTTCACACATAAAACACACTCAAACTACTTCCACATCGCAATTCCTTAAAAGTAAAATTTTTGTCTTTCAGGAAAAGAATATTATGAAATTGCGCATGATACATACTTTCATGGTTTATACATCTTTACATACTTTCACAAGAGTAATTTCAAGGTGTTCCCACAAACAAAGTTTTTTAAAATACACTGGTTATCATAAATTAAGGAAAAATCTCAATTACTGAAAAAGTTACATGTAGAATTTAATGAAACTTATCCACAATATACAATACATAAGAAATTACCAGACAAATATGGTAGTATAGAAATTTGCACATGTATAAAATGAACAAATCGAAGGTGTCGATTTGCTATAGGAAAAGTACCTTCAATATGGAATATGATTGCCTCTAGAAGCAATACAGCACATACAGCGATGTGTGATGTTTTCAATTATGCGGTCTATCAGTTCCTTAGGAAGTGAGAGCAATTGCTCTTGCAAAGCAGTTGCAAGTACGACAAGGGTCTTGAGGGGGCAGATTGAAGAGCAGCTAGATGTCTCCCTAAAGCATCGCCAAATGTGGTCAATAGGAATTCAAGTCCGGGGATCGAGCTGGCCACTCCATGCGCATAAATTGTTTACCTGTTGAAGATAATCATCTACGATGCAAGTGCCCTGTGTGGTCTTGCGTTGTCGTCCTGTAACAAGAAAGCATCACCTACTGCCCCAGCATGCATGGGCGCACATAAACATCGAAGGATGTCATCTCTATAAATCTGAGCATTCACGGTTCCCCTTGGAAAGACATGGAGGTCTGTGCGTCCACTCAAGCAGATGCCACCCCAAACACAGACACTGCCCCTTCCGTATGCATCTCTTTCACGGATGTTTGACGGATGATAACGGGTTCTAGGTTCTCTCCATATCAAATAACACCTACTATCGCTTCCTAGACTAAACCTGGACTCATCCGTAAAGAGAACCGCCCTCCATTGATCAGGTGTCCAGTGGACATGTTGTCGTGCCCACTGAAAACGGTCCTTCCTATGGTGTGACGTGAGCGGCACACAAATGGCTGGTCACCTCGCATACAGACCATCTTCGTGAAGCCTTCTACGCACAGTTGACGTTGACACCAACCTTCCGGTGGCTGTAGCCAGGGAGGATCTAAGAAGAGTCAGACTAGCGGTTCTATTCCTGCGTGGACATAATGTCAAACATCGGTCATCGGCGCTCGTCGTAGCAGTTGGCCATCCTTGGCTGAACCTCCTAGATGCCGAATCTGTGGTTTGAAATTGCCTCCAAAGTCTATGAACCACAGAAGAACTCACATTTAGCCATCTGGCCACTTCTGTTTCACTTTGTCCTGCCTCTAGTCTCCCAATGGCTCTCCATTGCAGTTCTGCAGGCAAATGATGCCTGGAGGTCATTGTTATGAATTGGCTATCTCAGATTTCTGATGTCACTGTCACAGTGAAATATGTGGGCTTGCTCTTAAACATGGACTTTTATGCTCCTCGCAGATGACGTATTCCGAAAGCAGCGCCACTAATTTGCATATCGCAGTTTTACTCAGCTACTCTTACTTGGCAACATATTCAAATTTTACACAGTTTGGCTTATTTTTGAAGGAGTTATCACTATTTTTGTGATTTTCCCTTAATTTATGATAACCAGTGTAAATTTTTCATACACAAGAGAGTTTCTGTTCCTTTCAGCCACAGCTCTTGAGGAAAGATGTATAGAAGTTTAATGTGGAAAGGAAAGCAGGAAAATTTTTACACATCATCTTTTCACTGAAAAAAATTCTGCTTTACAAAGTTGTGCAGAAGTGATAAATAATCACTTGGAAAGCAGCCGAAAGAGAATAAGAGATGATGCAAAACTACATATGATTAATATAGCTTTTACAAGGTCATCAAGGTTGCTATGACAGAAAAGGAGGATGCCTTTTTTTATTACAGCAGCTAGTTTAGCCTTCAATATTTAATACACAACTTCTATTTCATCAGTACATAATCAATAACGAATGTATATCATCTCAGAAAACAGTAAAGTCACCAAATTATACACATAACCAGCATCAGATGGAATGCACATTTTGGAAAGTGTCAAAGAAATTCATATGCATATATTTAGACACTGTAATGATCCATTCTACTGCCATATACATGTTTTTCTTTACATCTCACTATCCATTTCAAAACTAGAGATGCCTATCAATAATACTTAACTAAAATACCTATATATACCATCAATTACACTTATGAGCAATATTTAATCAATCTGTAGCAGCTCTTGTCACATCCAAAATTCTGTAACAAAGGGCAGAAATGAGTAATAATTACAGAAAATTGGTAATAGTTGGCATCTCTAAACTTAATCACATTATCTTTATCTTGCAAATTAGCCTTTATCAGTCTCTTCAAAATTTAAATGTACATGACACAATTTTAAAAACATAAAAACACGATAGTACTATTTATCTTCGCCCAAAATCTCTACTTACATTTCCAACTACATCTACCAAAAAACATCAATTTTTTTTTTTTTTTTTTTTTTTACTTTAATCTTCTAGCAGCCTATATTTCTAATTTTAGTACACATGAAATATTACAAAAAATTAATATAATTGCCTATTTGCATCCCATTATGTTAGAAAAAGTGAACAATATCTAACAGCATCATAACATATACTTGCAAAAAGTCAATTAAAAAAAATGAATGGGTCAATAGAATTACAATTTTTTTTTTTTTTACTTTAATCTTCTAGCAGCCTATATTTCTAATTTTAGTACACATGAAATATTACAAAAAATTAATATAATTGCCTATTTGCATCCCATTATGTTAGAAAAAGTGAACAATATCTAACAGCATCATAACATATACTTGCAAAAAAGTCAATTAAAAAATGAAGGGGAATTAGTATGTGTCACACAGGATGTTCAGAAGTACCTCGTTTTGGTGGTATTGAACACGGTGGGGCACTCGCAAACACGTTTGTATCAACTTTAAATATTTCCCCAAAATCTGGAACATTAACTTCTTGCTGACGGAGCTTTTCTATTAAAAAAATCTATAATGTAGCAGATCCTAATGTTCAATTTTACATCTTTTTTATAATAAATCATTTTATATACAATATGCAAAATGTAAACCTAATCTTCTGTTCCTGATAGTTTACTTTATACTGATGAATACTAACAGTACACTAGTAGAAATTACGTTAGTCTTATTCTAATAATTTTGGGAATACATTCAAGCATATTTGCTTTGGCATTACGCACATTTAATACTTAACCTTTATAGAAGGAATTAGCTTTCATTTATATCATGCAAGGTGAAAACTATAAGACACCTCAAATGATAATTAGCCAGATATACTGCTGGGAAAATACTTGTGATGGAACTATGAAGATTAAATAATTTTGTGTATTTTGTCCCTGAGAACACAAATTCAGTGAAAATGCTTCACTCAATTTTTTTCTTGAGTTTTCTTTAAGAAAAATACATTATATTGCATATATAAAAATAATAAAAGCAAAAATTCTTTAGGAAACACCTACATGTCATTAAGATAAAAGCTGTTAAATGGTAATATAGTTTTCAACTGCTTAAACTCTACTTAGACCTAATATAAGACACCAACTCAATACTTTATTCATGTTCAAATTTAGTATAGAACATCCCACTATTATGCACATGGCATCTAAATTTCAAAGCTTATCATCTACCAATGCTTATTTGATCACTTCAATTAGGAAAGCAATATATTTTTTAGTAGAATATTCACTGCTGATAAAACGAGGTCACTACTATGAGCTAGAATCAAAACACAAGTATATGGCATGGAAATATCCCACACCTCTTTAAAAAAATTAAGACTCACCAGCACTGAAAAAGGTTGCAGCTTTTTTTTTAGTTCAGCAAAAGGATACATACTTAATTCGCAGGAAATGGGACTACATTCTATAGTGCGAATTAAGATGTAATTCTGGAAAACAAGCAATAACTGGCAATTTGCAACAAATACTGAAGTCTGCTGTTTCATTAAAACATCAACCTGAACATAACTCACCATACCATTCAGTCAGTCAACAAGTTGAAGTTTCAGGTACTGGAACAGCCTCCAGACAAGATCTTGCTAATTCTGACATTTATCTCTTTGGGCCATTCAAGGATGCTTTGCAAGGTTATCAAATTTCCACAGATGTGGAAAAGCAGCTACTTCTACTTGAGAGGGAACACAAAACATTACAGATGGATGGACCAAGTGCTTAACATGAGAAGTGACTGTACAGAAAAATGATTTATACTGAATCCCCACTTCTATGCAAAAGAATGTAGAACAAAAAGTGTAGATAATTTTTGATTTGCTCTCCTAAATACTTTTCCCAGGTTTTACACTCTGAAAATCTAGCTTTGCATTTAAAAGAGTTACATTTCACAAAGAAACCTTTTTCACAATGTGCTCATACAGGAAATGAGAGATTTCATTGAGCCTGTTAATTTGTATATTTTCTTTCAATTAAAATTATTATACATTTGAATTACTCTTCATTCTAAAAAGATGACTTTCTCTACTTGAGAGGGTTATTATTAACCAGTACTTACCATTTAGATTCAATGCACTCATATCAGGAGGAGGAGGAATTTCAGGAGGTACATCTGGAGAAACCAGAACAGCAAAATGGACTTGCCCAACTGCTGTAATCAACTGAAACATATAAAAAAGAATGCTGAGTAACTAAAACACCTAAGGTGAGTGATATATTAGTTATATCCAACCATTAGCATTTAATTATACACTGAAATGAACCAGTGACCTCAACAATATATAGCATGAACTGGGCTTCCAAATATTATTTTCCCTGAATCTGCTCTCCGGAGTTTTATACGTCGGTCTTTCGGTTTCATGAACTAATCTGCATATCATTCCTACATGTATCAGTCTCTGTTTAAATTTTACTGATGCTAATCCAAAGAACTAAGTTAAAAACTAGGGGAAATTTTATATCTCCATATTTGCGACCAAAGCATGGACACCATGTGCAAATCCAAGATGATGTAACTAAATTACGCATAGCTGAATGAAAAGCATGATGATTATTTATTACTTCTTTCAACAATTATATATTATACAAAACTATTTTCGAGATTATCTGAATAAAAATTTGTGAGAAAATGAACCAAAACATGCCACCAATCTGGCTAACAGCACATGTATAAGATATGGTATCTTGATATTATGTAAATCCTATTTTAGATTTTAAATCTCATGTAACATTTTATGGGTTTACCAAGAATACTGCCTTTGTACCTCCACTCCTCACTCATTTTTAGGATCTTTACTGGTGTAAGACCAAAGCTGTCTGCCACCCATGATATATTGCCATGCATATGGGATAAACTGGCATTTTCATTTGGATTCCAACCATATCAGCAGCAATGGATACAATCCGCATTCATGAAATATATGTGTGTATATACAGTGTGGGCATAAAAATACTTCATCAATATATTAATTCCTAGCAGCCTATCCACTCAACTAATCAAAATAAAATTTCAGATATTGTTATGTGAAGGTATGTGCTCAAGATTTTGACAATTTAAAACAATAGAGTATACAATGAAAAAATTTTGAAATTTTTGAATGGCAACATTCTTTTCCCTATGCAAATCAATCAACACATTAATAAAAAACCATAAATGGCACTAGAATGATACATGCATGATAAAAATTGAGAACATAAAACATTTGCAAAGGACCAAAGACAACACAAGTAAGGCGAGGGGGTAGCTTTTATTTGAATTACCAGTTTTCAAGGTGTCCACCTTCACAGATGATAATGCAACCTTGCATGCAGGAGAGTGTTGACAAAATAAGAAATATAACATCAGAGAAATCTGCATAACTTCATATTTTATGAAATCTTTCAATTTTGTGGATTTGATGTAACCTCAGAAGCAAAAATAAGTCGGAGTGAGGTCGGGGGATCGCGGTCACCATGAAACTACAAAGTTATGGGAGATGATCCTATCTTGAAAATTTGCACACGTTGAAAACATGCAATTCCGATAAAAGTTTTCTTCCCTCGTCATCAGTCTTTAACAATGCTCTTCTTTGGAAATGTTTTACACTGGCAATTTTCGTTATATGTGTATCGTTCCTGTGCCATTTATGGTTTCTCATTGGCATATGCTTTAGAGGGGGACATTCTCATGTTGTGAAATTCCCTTATTGTGACAGAACAGATCATGAAAGCTGCAGACTTTATCAACATTGTAGGAGACCAGTTGCACCCTTACATATTATCTGTCCAACTGGAAATGGAATATTCTAGCAGGTCAATGCTTCATGTCACAAGGCTTGTGTTGTGATGGAATTGTTCAAGGAGTATAATAATGAATTCCAGTTAATGTCCTGTCCACCTAACACACCGGATTTTAATCTGATAATTAACTAGGAAAATACTGCAGATCCATGTTAATTCAAGCAAGATTCAGCATAAAATAGTAATTATAAAAAATGCTGTTGATGGATTTTAGTACTTTGCTTTAAAATGAAAATTTTTTATGCTAGATGACCGTTGGTGTTCATATTTTAGGAATACATATCAAAACAAAACCTTAACAGAAACCTGGATATTTGAATCTACTCGAACTACTGAAAAGGGGGAAAATAAAGATGAATGCAGGATAAAATTCCATAAAATGGTACTACGGCATGTCCTATACTGAAAAAGGAAAACAAAATTATAGGAAACTGAATTGAATAATACCATTCATTTTTAAAACTTAATACTGCAAAAACTCTACTGTTTTAACCAAGCATCAGAATGACACTAGATAAATATCACATTACTGAATAATGAGGCTCAATTTTGCATGCAATATTAGTAATAACAGCAGAGAAATAATTCAAATAATAATACAAAGAGAAATAATTTTTCTAAAATCTCATTAAATGATAAAATTCATGAAAAAAAAAATTACTGAATATAAAAAGTAAAGAATCTTACTGCTTTATTACTAGATTTCCAACATGCAATAGCCTTAGGATCTGATATATTCAGAGCAACCATTTTGGCATTTTGGACCATGGGTGTTACAGCTATTAAGAATAAAAACTGAACGTTAAAAACAAAACTTTAATTGCCTTTTAAAAATACACCTTTATTTCATCAAATGAGTTTAATTTCAGAACAGGACTAACAAATATAACTCAGACATCTAAAACAAGATAACATATTTACTTTAAAAAAAACTGAACATTAAAATAAAAATTCATAATTTTTTTTAAATAGGCTTTTATTTAAAAAATCATTAAAAAGGGTGAATGAAAAGGAAATAAGAGTTTATCACACATTTTAATGGGAACAATAGATTAAAAATTTCTCTTTACAGAATTCATCTACAATTTATATCACACATAATAAAAAGATGAGGCATTTCTGATAAATTTATATGGAAATGAATTACGCTTTTGACAATGCAATGAAATAGATTTCATTCACCCATTTTTTTTATTATTCAATGATATAAATTGTAGAGCATTTTTTAATCTACAGTTCCCGTTAAACTATATAATAAATTATTTTTTCCTTTTCGTTAAATTATTTTATAATTCTTACATAAAAGTTTCTTTTAAGAAAAACTTAAATTTTTTTTTAAAATCTTTTTAGATTCAATAACACATTAACAGTCCAATTATTCAACTGGCAAATAGTTTTTCAACAATGACTAATCACTCTTTTACTTCTAGCAATTATGTTTCAGGAAATATTCTAAAAAATACAGCGATTTTGCCAAAACTCAGAAATTATGTTAAAAATCTCAAACTTCATTTAAAAGATTTTTTTCCACTCTATACTATGGTACAAACAATATAATTATGAGAGTTTTAGTTTGTTCATTAAATGAGGATATATGTAGAAAAAATCATTTTAACATTAATTTTTTTAAAAAATCAAGTTTTGAAATAATTGCTTCTTCACATTGTACTGTCATCCACAATGAGTGTCAGTGCAAAATCTGAACTTCAAATAGGAAACAGTTTAAAAATAGAAAAATAGAAGGATATGTTTTGACCATAATGACAAACACCATCAAAGAGTTAATTAAAAGCTTTTAAAAATTCTATAAAAATGCATAATTGATATTTTCTACGATTCTTGTTTTAACACTGTAGGCCATTAAAATTGCTTTACACAGCGTATAAATGGAAACATTGCACGGCATGTTTCTCTTAGGAAATTGCATTTGAACACTTGAAATCTTTTGTTTGTCTAAATGTCATGTTTTACCTTGTGTAGGAAAGAGACATTCCTATCAACACTTGTCAAAATTCAAGTGACAGGACTGTGGTTTATCCGGATTGCAGTTTATCATTTGGAACACGCTGCTCATGTTGGTCATGATCTCATGACTGTCAAGCAGATATGGAATTGATGAGTTCATGAGGGCCATACTGAATGCCGCATTGGAACTCAGTAGCCCAGGCCACTAAATGCACTAAGTTTTAGCATACGAATGCTTATCTGCAAATACACAAAGAGCCCTCCATTACAGTGTGTTTCCATATGAACCCTTTGTACTCATTTTAAGTTTATACACAGGTATAATGGTGGTTGGAAGTAATTTTCATTGAATGAACAGTAATCACAATATGCAAGATTATGAAGCTTGTCAGCTTAATATAAGATCAGTATGGTTCTTTGGTGTGGTGGCTGACAGAACACACATGACTGGAACACTAAAAAAAAAAAAAAAAAAAAAAAAAAAAAAAAAACTATGGTGGCTAATAGCAGACTTATCACTAGAATGATAAAAGAGCTTTGGTGGCTGAGAGTAGGCATATGACTGCAAAGAGTTAATTACCCCACTTAGTTTGATAGTTACGGCAGCATCACAAAACCCTATATTCACAAATATTTATTAAAGAGTTGCTGGATTTCTTTTTTAATGGGCTGCAAAAGAGAATTATAAGGGAAGACACACAATGTTACTCTAATCCTGAGCTGCAATTCAAATAACATTGGGGACTTAGCATAATGAAAAGCACGCAGGATATTGCAAAAATACCCAGCATTGTATAAAAAGCAAAAAGTTAGCAAGTCCCAAACCATTTCTGCATTGAAAAGAAACTGTAATTATCATGACAGCTTATGTTTGTTGTTTTTATTTGTGCTCCTGCTATCACTGAACAGCATACTAAATGCCCAGTTTACTCCAAAATAGTAGCTAAAATAGAGTGCACAGTTTACCTAAAAACAAGATTCAACACAGTTTACCTGCAAACAAAGTGCCTCATCAAGTACATATGAGCCTTGACGTTTAAAAGCAGAAAAAATCATGGAAGTTCAGTAAAAAATTTTTTAAACTCATTCATCTACTCCCCCCCCAAAAAAAACCCTCGTCCATATTTTTTTATGTAGTTGTGATGAACATGACTTCTTATTACACTAGGTCTTAAAGGCAATAAAAAATGGTTTCGAATATGCATGAAAATACATAGAGAGGCAATCTAAAAATTATACCACTGGTTAGCAGACACAATTTTATTCTGTAGATCTACAATTTTCAGTACTGTAAAAAATTACAGCTGTTAAATACCATGAAATTTTGCATTTTAACTGGATGAATCTAGGGATGTAGCATACATAGCTCAGTTCTGATTTTCGAGTGCTATAGCTATGAAAAGAATACTTAAGATTTCCAATCTATGATCAGAAAAAATGATCAAACAATGCATGTATAATAAGCACAGACCAAATAAAATTTTGATTTAATAATCATGACTTAGGTCACAGATCTTTTATGTTTGATTATAGCAGAGATAAACACCAGCAAATATATACTAAACACATTTAGAACATTAAAAAAAATGTAGTACAGAAACACTCAACTCAGTAGTACAGGACAACTGTCTTATCTAGCACAAGTGAGAAAGACATCAACAGGAAAAAACTGTATACTATTCTAACACTAGATAAAACAACTTCAGAAGAGTGTTGGAACTTTTACATTGCATTTTCCATTTCTTTTTCTTCAAATTTCTCTTCTACCGAGATTTGAAAGATATGCAAATTACAATATTTTATTTGTAGTATTTACACAGTGCAAGACAGATTCAGTAACTGATGGCAGATCATAAATGTGTGTGACAGATTAAATGAATTCAAAATTGCATTCCATTTAAAGCTGATAATTACACTCTTAATTAAATCTTTTATATATTTTAATAATTTAAGAAAACTGGCTTAAAAAACTTACTTGATTGTAACAAATCTGCAGCTTGGTTAACTCTTTCTACAAAATATGTATCTTCAGAATTATCTGACTCTTGCTTGGCCATCATCAAGACTCTGTTAGCTAAACGGGCAATTGAAGATGTATTTTCAACCATTTTTTGAGGCAGACCATTTGCTATTGCTTCTTCACAGGCCTTTGTATGTTTTAATATATTATCCTCTGTCAAAAATACAAATACTTTTATTCTCATTCTAGATTCATTTATACCCAAATCCATAAAACATGTCAGAGCAATACACACCATTTAAAATCTAAAGTTTATATTTACAACACTCACATATAGTCAGTGTTAATTAATCAATTAACTGGGTTACAAAGCCTAAGTACATCACATATTTTAAATATGTACTAACATAAGTTGATCACGTTTCCCCCAGGCCCAATTAAGGATTACTTAATAAATGGAAAACACACCATGCCAACATGTCTTAAGAATTGAGAGGCTTCATGAAGAACTATATAAGAGAAACACCCATATTTACTTGCAATACATATGGGTAAAATAATTCAAATATTTATGTGCCTAGTCTATTCAGTTGTAAGATAGTGAAATTACAAAATTTTCAGATTAAAAACTCCTACGCTTTGGTAAATATGTGACTCAATATATGGCTATACAGGTATCCCCTGCTTCACAAAGTTTTGCATTCACAGAAAACTTAGTGTTAATGAAAGAAGTCCACAAAAGATGCTCAATACTACACACAATGATCTTTTAATTAAATATGGTGATAAGATATCAATAGCTCTCCCTTGCCTGCTGCCCTATATCAGAGGCTTTCATTCTCCTTATGGTGGAATCTCCAAAATTTCAGCACACTATTGTCACCACCACCATCTTTACAGATTTCAGTATGTTTCCATTTTAGAAAATGAAACTGCATTGTACATAAATTATGAATAATGTCCATTTACATAGTTTATATATTTACCACATTAATTCTTTTACTACTATTTTAGAGTTTATAATATATCTATGATAAGATTTGATGGATTTTTCTAAAAGTCTGGGAATATTATGAGCATTTTGCATGTAAATAAATAGTTAATCTTTCTTGGTTTTGAACTAATTTTGGCTTATAAAAGTTCCACATGAACCTTCTACTTTTGTGAAGGGAGAAAACCCATATTTACTTTTTATTGATATAAAGTATGATGAATTTGTAGGAATACAAACATATTAAAAATTCTAAAAATATTTAACACGTTGACTGCCACCCGCATTTTATGTGGTTTGCCCATGGCGCCAACATTAATTTTTTATTACTCGATGTATATTATGTTGAAATATTATCTATAGAAGATAGGGTAAGTTATATAATTGTGTTTAATGCATTTTTTGTGGTGTGGGTCACCGCTCACCCCCGAGGCACAGCAGACCACTTTTGCGATTTATTGTTTAAATTTTTACTATCTATTACTCTTCAAACCATTATAGTAATAATGGTTATTATTTAAAAATTTATCTGTATCGATATTTATTCTAAGTATATATTTTTACTGTTGGTCGCATCGCTAGTTACCGATGCCCCCCCCCGGGCACTATAGCCAAGTTGAGTGCCGGCCACCGGTGACCCCCCACGGCAGTCAACGTGTTTAATATTAAGTTTCTGCCAAAAGTAATATTAAAAATAATAATTTAAATTTGCACCTATTAAAAAGAAAAAAAATAATTTAACTAAACGAAAATATTATTGTAATTTTTATTTCAAACAGCTGCTATGGTGACAATTTGACCAAAATATAAATGTTTATCATAATGCTAGTTTGATCGATGGATTTAAAATACATTAAAGTCCTTGGAAAGTGTAAATAATTGTAAATGTTTCATTAGTATCAACATTGTTTTTTCTCTGCCACTTTTATTTGGTGACTACAAATTTTTAGGATTTAGGATCAATTAAATAGTATGGCTAAATAACTTTTAAGAGCATGTGTGCCCAAACACACATACACACACACACACAAAAAAAAAAAAAAAAAAAAAAAAAAAAAGAAAGAAAGAAAGAAAGAAAGAGGGAAGAATAAATGCTTTAAGGCAAAGACAGAGCTAGAGAGATGATACATCTGGATGATTTTTATCATATGACTAATGATGAAATCGTTGACAAGTAGAGTGCAACAAGATTCTGATCCTGACAATGTCAGGAATGCTAAAAAGATAATATTTTATACAAGTTTGGTTTTAGGAGGAAAAACATTTGAAATTTTGTGAACAAATCTTGTAATAAATTAGAAAATAATGATTCAATATAATTTGAGGTAAAAGAAAGTTAACATTAATAAGTATAAAACAGATTTATATAATTTGAGGTAAAAGAAATTTAACATTAATAAGTATTAACATATATAGGGTATTTTACATTGATTTAACTAATTTTTGTGATATGGATCTTTACTATAACTTCTCCTTTCCACAAGTCCTCACTAGGATGCAAATAAAGATATTTCAGGCAAAGGTTTTGTATGCTTTAGATATAGAACTTTAGATATAGAATGGCATTTCATATGGCTTAGACTTAACACCAAAGTTCAGTCAATGTGTGCCCCACCAGCTGTACAAGTGAGTTGCCTACTGATGAAACTCCAGGCATGCTCAGTTGGTGACATATCTGGGGAATAAGCAGGCCATGGAAAAAGCAAAACCTGTTGTGCCCTAAAGAAGGCTTGTGCAGTCTGAAAAACATGTGCACAGGCATTATCCTACCGAAATACAGCACCCAGAATACGTTGAAGAATAGGAAAGACCTCTGGCTTCACAACTTCCCTTATGTAGCGACCACTGTTGAAGCTGCTTGCAATCTGCACTAGATGGGATCAACAATTATACCCAATAGCTCCCCACACCATGATGACAGGTGTTTGTGTAGCATGACTCTGTGGGATAACACACTGTTGGAAGCAGACATCCCCCTCTATAATGTCTGATGTATACTCTTCCATTATTGTACTCCAGATTGTAGCAAGATTTATTGGAGAAAACAACTTGTCACAAGGCCTGCTACACACTGTGTTGCCATGCCATTCAAATCTGAGGTATCTGTGATTCAGCAAAGAGGGGAATTATGTGCAGAGAACTCTTGCATGCAGTTCATGCTGCAGCAGATGAACTGTGGAGTTAGACAGCACAACACCTGTAGCAGTGTTTTAGTGCTGTGCTAACACATGAGATAATGATGTACGATCTGTCACAGCCATGCGGATAAGGTGTCTGTCACCCCAAGCTGTTGAGATATTGCATGCTCCCACTGCCAGGACTTCACCTCACTTGGTTCTCCTCTGTACATTTCTTTCAAACACGCATCACTGTTGTGGCATTACACTGCATGTGGGCTGTTACTGCTCGATATGAAAGTTCACTCTCTCGCATACTGGCAATGCAGCCTCATTCAAACTCCATTAGTTTTGGTATGGCACCTTCCACTTTTGATGAGTCACAATGATGCATTCACCGCAGACAGAGGACGATAAACAGATCATGCAAATTTACAGTTCTTTTAAATACACGGACCAAGCAACATCTTCTAATTCCACGCATGCGCAATCACTTTGTAATTCTAATCATCTGCACGTCTTACCTCACATTACATTTCCTGTTAGTTTGGTTATATTTGCATAACTCCTTCCCGATATTGCAATTTTTGTAAACATTAGTGTATATATGCACGGATGTGCAAGCGTAGAAAGCAATTTGATGGATAACAATAAATAATAATAAAATAATAAATTTATAATAATAAAATTATTAATGCCATGCAAAAGCCACAAATGCCATCAAATTAAAAGATTTTATTGCTATATCCCCCCGGTTTGTTTACAATAACAGTAAATTGGTTGTTGCAGTTATTAGTGCATTTACTACAAGTTTTTCTTGTGTATATATATTTTTGTTTGGATCTGTCCATGTTTTTTTTTTTTTTTTTTTTTTTTTTAACAAAAGAAAATTTTTAACTAAACTATTTTTACCACATATATGCCAAAACATATACAGTCAAAAGTTGTTAATTCGGACACCCATAATCCGGAATGATCTATAATCCGGACCTCAAAGCTTCAAACTTTGACGCATGCGCAGAATTATTATGACAATTGACGCATGCGTCTTATGCTTACTGACTTATGCTTACTGTCTTATGCTTATTGAATGCTTGGCTGAGAATATGCTTGTGCGTGTGCGCAAAATACGTTTACGAGTGCGCGTTTAATGTATAACGGACATATAAGCTAAGCTAAAATTATTTAATTATCTATTTCAGTTAATGTTGCAGATTGCGTTGTTCCTCAATCTTAAAATTGGATCCGGCTTATTATTTTTTGCAGACTGTTAGAGCAATTTTATAAAAATAAGCTTGAATTTTCGATTATGTCAAATAGAATTTCTGATATATATTTATTAATATGTAAATGATCTACAAAGCGAAAGTATGTTTCGAAGTTCATTAAACAAAAAGTGGAATTGCTACAAAAAATGGATAAAGGCATATACTTTGTTTATTTAAACTTTGCTTATCTTTAACACCGCGGCGCCGCGCAATGAATAGGAAGTTGATCTGTCAGCACTATCCTTATCTTCAGAGCAGATGTTTTTATTTTATTTGACTTATAATTCCTTATTAAATGTAGTATTTCATCTCGATGTACTCCATCTTTGATATGATTTAAATCAAATTCCTCGTCATTATAATTCGCTTCCGATAGCGAAGAAAGTAACAGAGGTTATTGAAAACGAAAAAATTTCAATTGACAAATCAGTCAGTATTCTCAACACAGCAATTATAGGACTTGAACAGCGGAACTTAGTAACTGAACAAGAAATTATGTCTGTTTAAAGAATTAAAGAGAATGTATTATCACATAAAAAACGAAGCAACTTTAACAACTTACATTGAAAGAAATGTTTAATAATGTAAACAAATAAATATTAAGTTTTTTTTTTTTTTTTTTTTTTTTTTTTGTAAATTTTGATACCCTTTAGATCATAATTGTTCTTTATTTCATAAATTACAGTTTCATATTTTTAATTTTATAATTTCTGCATGCCATCTTACCAGATTTAAACTGATGATCTATAATCCGGAAAAATCGATAATCCGGAATCGCCGAAGTCCCGACAAGTCCAGATTAACGACTTTTGACTGTATATAAAAATAACGTGAAGAAAAAATCCAAATTAATACTTTCTTTTCTCTCTGAAATGTAAACTTTTTTTCCTGCAGCATTTCTTCTGTTGGTTACACTTTGTATTTCAAATACATTTACAGATAATCAAAACTTTCAGACTGACATTTATTCAAATAATTCCAATATACTGAAGCAACCAAAAAATAACTTACTTTTAACCTAATTTATAAAAACTTCCCAAGAGGGATAGTTGAGAATAATGAATTGTAACTTATTCTCTTTATTACATTTTTTTTTGTAATACATACAAAAAAATATTTGAATGTAAATAAATATAAACTTCCTTGTTTTTACTACGCCATTCAGATACACCTTATGACATTTCAATATTCATAAAGTTTATAACATTTGACGAAAGCTACTAGAAAGTATCTACATCACAAACTACAGATACTCAATCAACAATTTGGTTCTTTTCATATATTTATCAATATTTAATTATGGAAAAAAACCTGCTCACATGTAAATGTATCCAAAAACAAAGTGCTAATTCTTATTGCAAAAATTTTTAAGTAATAGTATCCATCTTTTGACAAGTACTGATAGAAGTGAATTAAATTTGTATCTTCAATTCTCTGAATGAGATTCATCTCACAGAGACAATTAATTAGCACCATCTGTAGATTTTCTGGGGGAGCGCTTTCAATTTTAGCTATAAAAATAATGTAAAACTGGACTCCAAACAAATAACATCTTGAACTTTTACTTCAAAGTTTTGTCATAATAATGTTGATTAACTTACAGGAAATGTAATTACAGTAACAAAATTAATTAATTTATAGGATTAATTTACAGGCTGCATGCAGCCCACAGGTTGAAAGTTTGAGACTACTGCTAAAAAGTTAAGTTTCTTGATAAAAGATTAGACTTTAAAACCAATAAACTAATCTACTGGAACCCTATTACCCCTAAAAAACGTAACAGCCTGCACAATAGTTTACAGATTTTACAATTTTTTTTTACCTTTTATTGCATGCTGAACAATTTAAGATTTAATTACTTTAGTTTTTTTTTTTCTTTCTTATTATTCCTGCCTATGCTTAAAGCTTATCCGAGTCCCAAATAAATGAATTCCCACATACAATTAAAGCTTATCAATGGCTGATGCTAGACAGTTTATGGCTTGGTGCAATCTCCGAGCATCCTACATTCTAAACCCCCCCAATTTTGCACCCCAGTACCTTCCCTAAATTCCAATGATTTTGTAATTCCTTAATTTTTGTTGTTCGATAATTCTCTAAATTTAAAAATTTTGACTCCCCTAAATTCTGTTACCTGGTGCACAGGCACCAGCTCTGGCAGTGGTCCTGAACATATCTAAATAATAAATCAGTTATTCTCAATTCAAACAATACTTAATAGAATCTTATTTTTTGCACACAGAAAGAAATTTCTGTTAAATTTCCCCTTGCTAATACATACAGTACTTTGTAGCACAGTTAGCTGAAGTCTGAAATCATCGGCAAGGATAATGTCAACATAAAAGATTATCATGCTCTTTGGTATTCAGTTACTAGTACTTAAAAAATTGTTTAGAAATTACTGTGTGGAGACATTTCTCAAGTTCCTGTGCACAGACAGTTCTGCAAAAATGAAATAATAATGATTCACCAGTTTGTCATCAGGGTTTTTATAATTCATAGGCATAAAATGCTTGCCAATGTATAAAGGCATTTCAAACAATATTCATACTTTCTTCTTCACCAAAGGAACATTTTAGAAGGAAACAAATCAGTGAAAATAAAAATATTTTTGAGATTAATACCTTATAACTAGTTCAAAGAGAAAATTGGCATACTATGCACTTGCATTTAGATTGTAAATATGTCTCACTTTTATTATCCATGCGAGCTCTTTCAGTGATGGTATGGTGTTTCTCAAATTTAAACTTTTCATTTAGATGGGAAAAATAGGTTCATTATATTAAAATGCATACTTGTAGCTTACTTACAGAATTATATGACATGGTATGAAGTAGATATAGCAGATAACAACCTATTAAAAAAGCCCAATTATGAATATGGTATTTACTATCTATGAATATTTACCTACAGTACAATTGAAATTAAAATTGATCATTTTGCCTTTTTTTCTCCAAAAAGAAACATCATCAAAGCTAATTTTTTTATTAACATCAAAGAGTTCTAAATCAAGAAATTGCAATCAATTTCTAAAGAAAATTCACGTATAATAACTTATAACTTTCAGCTCACACAGAAAATTATTTATATTTACAAAATTTTCAATAGAGTACACATTTATTTTATAAATGCTTAATAATTATTAAAAATAAAAAGTACAGTCAAAAGTCTTTCATCCGGACTCATCGGGACTTCGACGATTCCGGATTATCGATTTTTCCGGATTACAGATCATCAATTTAAATCTGGTAAGATGGCATGCAGAAATTATAAAATTAAAAATATGAAACTGTAATTTATGAAATAAAGAGCAATTATGATCTAAAGGGTATCAAAATTTACAAAAAAAGCTTAATATTTATTTGTTTACTTTATTAAATATTCCTTTCAACGCGCGGGTGCGTAAAGCATACATTATGCATAGTTGAAATTAGAAAATTGCAACCAGAAAACTATTTGATTTGTATTCGTGATATTTATCATGACGAGGAACTTGATTTAAATGATATCAAAGACGGAGTACATCGAGATGAAATACTACATTTAGTAAGGAATTATAAGCCAAATAAAATAAAAACATCTGCCTTGAAGATAAGGATAGTGCTGGCAGACCAACTTTCAGTTCATTGCGCGCCACGACGTCCCCCCCCCCCGCAGAGAACAGCGTGAAATTGATAAACAGATTTCGGAATGGTTAGAGAAACAAAGGAGCCTTTATCCATTTTTTGCAGCAATTCCACTTTTTGTTTGATGAACATCGAAACATGCTTTCCCTTTGTTGATCCTTTGGCAGCTTCAGCATCGGAAATTCTATTTGACATAATCGAAAGTTCCAACTTACTTTTAAAAATTGCTCTAACAGTCTGCAAAAAATAATAAGCCAGATCCAATTCGAAGATTAAGGAACAATGCAATCTGCAACAATAACTGAAATAGATAATTAGATAATTTTAGCTTAGCTTATACTGTCCGTTACACATTAAACGCGCATGCGTAAACATATTATGCGCACGCGCAGAAAGTTTGTAGCTTTGAGGTCCGGATTATAGATCATTCTGGATTATGGGTGTCCGGATTAACGACTTTTGACTGTAATAAGAAAAAAATCATACACCAAGAAGAATAACATACACGTTCTGCCCCGCTAAAAAAGCATATAAAGGACGAAGTAGCTTTCTGAATGGTGCTTACTCATCTATTAATTAGCATTTCATATAAATATTTACATATTATAATATTACCCTTTCCCATACAAACGTTAAATATATCAAGCCAGTATCGATAATAAATAAATAAAAAATCTCTTAAAAATACCTGACATTTTAATGAAGCTAACTGTATCAGTTGCTTCATCCACAAGAGACCTCATTTTCTCAACACTTTCAGCATACTGATCCCTCAGATTTTCAAAATGCTCATCAGCAGCCTTGTATTAAAAAAAAATAATAGTAATAAATTTTTAAAAAATCTCAAAGCTTCAGATTTGCCCAAAGGGGCATTTTTTTAACGTTTTATGTGTTAACTTTATTTATTAAATATCATGTTCTGCACATTTAAATCATAAAATTCAGTTCAACACCAATATCGCAAAATAATTTTAGAATGAGCATATCTTTAGAATTTCCAATACACAGTCTGCGCTGGGGATAAAAATGTTTCCCCATACAGTGTAGCTATTGCTCGCTTTTAAATCATTGAGTTTGTTAATCAAAAATTCGTTAAAGGTTTACAAATTATGAAATAGATAATAAAACAAATTCCAGATTAGGGCTTCCATATGCCCATATTCGGTGGAAGATTACGTTATTCAAAATTTGATGGCTCTAGGTACTGTTGTTTTATCACAGTGCGAGAAACATGTATATATTTATAGGGGTTCAGTATTTAATTTCTTTAAATATAACACCGGGCAATAATATTTGGTGGCAACAATTTGAAAAGTAAACCGACATTTATATTGAACCAACGCAAAATGCCAAAATGAAATTAATAGCCTTTCTGATAAATAGCCCTTTGGGCTAAAAAATTAAAGTTCATATGTTCGCAGTTAAAACAATTTGGGGGGAAGTGCACTATTAAAGTAGAATTTTTTTTTTTTAAAAAAGGAATAACAAACAATGCACTTAAGTTTAAACATTATTTTTTACTATTACTTCCTGAAGTTGCAAATCTTTCAGTAATTCATCTATACACAAATTTATACACATCTATACACAATATTTGTGTACACAAAAAATTTTTTAATGTGAATTTGGAATTCTTTTTAAAATTCATATGCATAGAATTGGTTATTAGAATTACTTTTAATGTAAAAATATCATAAGGTACACTAAAAGAAGATTCAACCCTGTCTGTACCTTTCTCTCAGTATCAAATCCATTACAATTACTTTCTACTTCTTAGATACCATACTAAACTAAACTTTTAAAGTAGAAATATACACTTATAAAGTGTTAAAGGAAATTAAGAAATTTCTTGTATGGGAATCAAAACTTTGTGTTTCATTTCCTAAATGAGTATTAACTTTTACTACATATTTATACAGGCTTGGGGAGTACAAAAAGTCAGGTTTTACGGTTTGAAAACATTGATTTTTAATTTAAAAATGCCCCAACACAAATATTTTCCTTATTTTAAGCATTTTAAGTTGGAAGCTTATGTCTCCATCTAATGGTTGTGAAAATAAAGGCAGCATAAGCACTTATAATGACCAAATATATTCTGAACACATTTAAATCATTTAATTGATCATGCAGTTCTGACCATTCAAAATGCAGACCATCAAGAAAACAGATATCAAAGCAATATTGATTGGACAAATAATTTATGCACAAGGATGAAATGGTTAAAATTACAGCCTCAATCAAATTGCAGAATATAGACATATGTTAGATTACTTGAGTAAGGCAAAGCATGCAAGGGCTATCTGTCTAAACAGATGCCTAAGGGAAACTGGCTCACATTAACATTACACATAGGAAAACCATAAAAAACACTCATTTAGCCACCACACCTGCCTCTGTTCAAATGCAGCTCAAACTATCAATACTCAGTGATCTTAACAACTTAGTCCCTCGTGAGGCCAGAAAACCAAGAAATCAGTATTTCGTGCAGCTGCCATGGCTAGCAATAACTGCTACAATGTGCCTCAACATTAAAAGACAAAAGCTTCAGATATGTGCCTGGGGTATGTTAGCACATGTTCTTTCTACACAGTGGCAAAGTTCTCTGGCATAGTTATGAATGGTGTATGCTGGATGATTTCAGTTCATCCTCCAGTTTTGATAGCTCAGGAAACACTTCATTACAATACACTAAAAGTTAAAGATAGCAGATAAAAATGGCCAAATGTGTTATACATCAGAAGATGGGTGGACTAAAGGCAGCAGCACAACCTGTGGCCAAGAAAAAATTATTGAACAATGGAGTGCAATCTGTGATCATGCACTGGCCTATGGAAACTAGACAACAGCCCAGCCTTGAACGGTCAGAGAGAACAATAGGCTCCAAAACTTCAGATATATAGCAGTGACTTATTAGCATTTCAGTAATGCATATTCGGCAAGTGCAGCAGTAAATAGAACCATTATGGTAATGCAGGCAGAATGAAAATTCATCTGAAAAGACAAAGATGCACCATTTGTTTATCTATATAAGAGTTCAATGCATCATTGCAAGCACATATGCTTATGATGCAGAGAGTCCATGGAAATCACAGCAATGGATACCTTGCAAAGATTCCTTTAATCTCTAGATAAGGTTAAATGGCACATGCTGCTGCTGGTTGTTGTGTAACAGATATTACTTATTGCGCTAGTGTTCTTGATGTTACTGGGCAATCTATAACTGCTATGCACACAACATGCTTGTTCTCTCATTTAGTAGCAATCATTTCAGGTTGGTGCAATCATTCCGGTCAGCCCTCCAGTCTTTCCCTGCACCCAAAAATTGAGTATGCATCTCTCTGTGGTTTGATTTTACGCATAATGAGCACTGATTCCTTGCAAGGGTAAGCCATAGTCTCCATAAATAACAATACTTTCCCTGTCAAACTCAGAAATTTTCTCAAATGATTGCTACATTTTTTGCCAATGCAGGAACCACAGAAAAACACAATTGTAGTACTTATCCTGTTCTTCCTTTTAATACTGCTGCTAGGACACATGATTTAAATAAGTGCTGCAATGCAAATCATGTGCAAGTTCTTACAAAAGTCTTTATATCACAGGAAGGGTGTTGCATTTTGGAAGGCCAGCAGCATACTTCTTGCATTTAAAAGAACATACGAAACTCAATGCCACGTAACTCTATTTCTAAAAGTGTTGAAATTTTAACAAGAAAAATATCTCTTTCCCTTTTCCTGTGGTTATATTCTAGTCTATTTTACTACAAACAAAGGCACAGAAAAAAATATGTGCGAGTTTTATCATCAATGAGACAAATGCAGATGCATTGCGTAAAGTCTGATCGAGAAAGATTGATATAGACATGGTAGAAAATACTGAAAGAAGAAGAGGTATCACATTCAAAAATGAAACAAGATGCCCTTCTTCAAAGCACATCTATTAAGGTCATGCATAGTTTCTGAAACTGCTACAGTAACACTAATCACCATATTCAAGGAAGTAGCACAAGACCTCATTAAAACAAATCAACCATATGGAAACACTTCATATGGAAACACTGCAACCAAAACAGAGAAGACTGCTGCAGCACAACAGTACTTTGCCTAAAGTGCTTTTCATTTGACACAGAAGGTTATGCGGTTTAGTATCAAATTCTCGGCCATAACTTTAACACAGAAACAAAGCTAATACTGAAATAATGGAAATACTAGAAGTAATTACTATCAATCCTTTAAGAAATTAAAAGTGCAGATTTCTGTTGAGAAAACAATGGCAAATATTTTCTGGGATGTGAAAATGCATTCTTCTTATTGACATTTTATAGACAGGCAGCATTATGAAAAGACTGTATGCTGCAAACTTGCAGAGTTAAAATACTGTCTGCTTTTTTTTTTTTTTTTTTTTTTTTCCCAAATCAAAGCATATTTTTTTTCTAATTAGTTTGTTACTACTGATATAAGGAGTGATCTTGATTGAAGCAGATATTTACATATGGTCTTTTCTACTCATGCTGCTTAATTCTTTCGCGTATTGTTGAATAATTTTTTCCCCAATGTACTAAGAATGAGGAATTCAGAAGTTCATTTTCATCATACTCATGCTGTGTAATTCTTTCATGTATTGTTGAATATACTTTTCCCCAATGTACTGGTAAGAATAAAGAATCCAGAAGTTCATTTTCATCATGTTATGTTCCTTTATTTTAAAAAAGGAAAAAATGCCAGACAGACTGCTTGTAAAACTTGTGCTACATGTGGACAAAGTGCTGTTTCTGATGACACAATTTGGAAGCAGTTTGAGAAGTTTAAGCATGTAAATTTCAGCTTCAGAAATGATACCCATTCTGGATGACCATCCAGTATAAACAAAGACCCATTAAAATGAGTTATCGCTGCTAATTCAAGTTACACAATTCAGGTACGATCAGAGAGTCAAACTATTCCAAAAAGTACAGTACATGATCATTTGAAGAAACTGTGGTATGTAAACGGTTATATGATGCATGGGTACCCTATACTTTAAGAGAGCAGAATATGCTTGCTCGAGTTCTGGCATGTAATTCTTTGCTGACGAAAAAGGAAGTTCCTGTTTTCAAACTGCTCGTTAATGCATATGAGAAGTGGATGCCATACAATAATGTTACAAGAAAAAGATCATGGAGTAAGCCAGGAGCATCATTGAGAATGGCTTGCATCCTAAAAAAGTAATACTTTGTGTATCGTGGGACTATTAAAGAACTGCAAACTAAGAATTGGCCACCAAACTGGGCAATAGATTTGGAAAAATACTGTGGACCAATAGTAGAAGTGTTGTCTTCCACTATGACAACAGCCATGCTCAGACCCACATTTTGCCCAGACACGACTTAAAAAAGGAATTTTTCAGCTCTCAGAGATTACAAAAAGTCACAAAACAAAATAGTGCTTATGTGCTTCAATGAAATTTGTTTACATTTTCTGTACTCTTCACTGGTATTTAAATCATCAAAAAACCATGATCGTCATAACCCAATACATAACGAGAAAAATACACAGCAACTAGTATACGGTTATTACTTTAAACACAAGTTATATACACCTTTATATAAAATTTTTAATCTAAATAAAATCTGTCACTAAAACAGTTAGTCTCAAAGATTTATCAACAACACAAAAGCAAAAATTTTCAAACCTACCTTATTGTCTGGATACGACATTCGAATTCGTCCAGCATTTATAAGTTGTGGAGTCAAACTTTCTAACTAACAATAAATCAAACATTTTGTGGAATAAATTACATGCCAACATTAATTTCACTTTTAAAAAATATTAAAAGTAATGCAAACTAAACTTTTGATAATATTTTCTGAATATAACTCACCTGATTTGCAGAAATCAATAGCATTTCAGCTAGCTTTTTATTGGCAGACCCTCCTGTGGCAACACTGCGTGCTGTCCCAGCCATACGTTGAGAGAAATTACTAAGCACTTTAGCTTTTTCATTGAAGTTCATCTCACGATTTGGTGTTCCTGAAAAAATTATCATTATACATAATTTATAAATTGAATTTTAATTAATGCAATTGTTGAACTTCAATTGAAATTGAGAAACACAATTGCATGCAAAGAAAATTCAAACTGTGCTGCCTTGAAATATTATTTACAGTGCTCCACTTTAGTTAATGTTATGAGCAAAGAATACAATAAAGTAAATTTGGTAAATGCATAGTGTCAATGAAATGTGTTGGAAGAGTTCATTTATATGCAGAAAGCCCCCCTTCCAAAAAAGAAACTACATTTGCTCTAGAGCAAATGGGAGATGTAGCATACGGACCATAATACTGGATCTGAAGGAAATTTTTTTTTTAATGAATCACAGGCAAGTATAGGTTTAGTTTCCTGCAATTCAACTAACGTTATCAGAAGAAGAAAATGCATACACATATATAAAACCACAGAGTAATTTTCATTCATATCACATATTTGATAATACAACTAAGTTTTCAGAATTATCGCTATTTTCAAATTTAAGAAAAGAAACATACTGATCATTTGATTTTTTTTTAATATGTGTTTGAATAGCAGCTTCAAAGCACAGAAAAGAATTTGATAACATTCCCAAAATATGAAATGAAAATATTTACACTGCTTGATTTCCAATTTGTATATCTTGTAATACAAAAAAAATCTATTCTAGTATGGTAATATATATGTGTATGATATTCAAAAATAATTTTAAAATTTTACTAAATACAGACAAGAAACATAACAAAACTTGAAACACTGTAGTGGATCTTTTCCATTATAATACAGCATACATCAAAAAATTTTCCCCCCAGAAAGATGTATACGCTAGCTTGATACATCTAGCAAGAAAGCTTTTGTCTTCAGCTCATTTCAACTACAGTACAAGTTTTCTAATCATAAGTAATCCTCTTATTTTTCCCCCAATAAACCAAATAGAATGACATACTCTAAAAACTTTCTAATAACAGTACTTACTTTGAAAACAAGGACTCTCTATAACTGTTAATGTGGTGTTATAAAAGATAAAAAAAAACAACTAACAATGGTCAATAAGCTAAATTGATGCATTTATCTTTCTGTAGAAAACTGTTTGGCCTGTAACTAAAATATCTGACAAGTTTTATTATCTCCAATTACAGAACTAATAGAATTTGCAGATAAAAAATGGACTAGAATGATAAAATGTAAATAAAACTTCTATTAATAATTAACAAAAGTTGTTAGAAATCATACTGCTTTTGAAATGAAGTAATTTCCTTTTATAAATACCAAAATTAAGTTGTGATGGGGATAGATTATATTGTCCACTTTTACAGTATTACTGTAGCAAGGTATTTTATGATCCTTGTTCCTGTACAGTTGCACAAATTTTAAGTGCAATTGACATTAGGATGATTAAAAAACTAATAAATAATAATAATATATAAAATCTGAAAACTTTTACATTTTATATTATGCCCAAATGGGTATTTTTTTCATTTACAGACATGTACACATTTTGAGAGCATTTGGGCTAAGCATATTTAACCTTTTGAGGCCGGGGCTTTGGTAGCAGTAAAAGCTACCAAAGGACGGGGAATCTTGAACCGAATGCTTTCCCCCCTTTAAGAAATCACCTCCTATTTGCAACAAAGATTCTTGTGAGTAGTTTAATGTATTCTCAGAGGGGTGCATCTATATCGCAAAAGGAAGAACTTTGAAAGAGATAAGTGGTTAAAACCGCAGGGACGTCAAATTTGACATTTCACCCTACTTTTCAGCCTGAAAAATGGGGGAAAAAGACATGGCCACTAAAGTGGACAACCCCGTCTTTTCAAAGGGAGGACTCTATGGCCACTATAATGGCCATCGCGTCTTCAAAAGGTTAAAAACAACATAGCATTAGAGTTTCTGATAGACAGTCTCATGTGCTGGAGATAAAAACATTTTATTCCCTACAGTGTTGCCACTGCTCACTTTGAAATTGTTCAGTTTTTTAATCAAAAATTCGTTAAAGTTTTACAAAATATGAAACACACAATTAAATTAATTCAAAATGCTGAAGTCAGGATTCCAGGTGCCCATGTTTGGGTGGAGGATTTTGTTTTTCAAAATTTGATGCCCTAAGAAACATACATTCATGCAAATCCTCCATTATTTAGTTTCTTTAAATATAATACAGGGCAATAACATTTGGTGGCAACAATTTGAAAAGTGATACAGTCTTTTACAGTAATTCTATGCAAAATGTTGTTTCGAGACTAATAGCCCTTCTGGCTAACAAAGGTTACAAGACATGAATAAAAGATCAGCTTTGCCAAAACGTCAGCATCAGAATAATGTTCTTAAGATTTTGATATAAATTTAATTAGCAGATAGTTTGTATTTTTATGCTTTTTAAAAATTTTAAATTGTTAAAATTGTCAAAATAGATGTTTAATTTCTGAAAATCCTAGTCTTTATTTCAAGAACTGTTACTAACATAAATTTAATAAAATGTGGGAAGAAACATAGTATGGAATGTGGAAAGCTTACCATTTCCACCAAGCAAAATACTGAAATCTCTACGATGTATGTTACTATGACTGCTGGTTTTCTTTTCCCTCTACAGAAAACAATTTGTACATTCACAGCATCACTGCTGCTGTTTAAACGTGATTAAAATGTCTTAAATTTAAATTTTTAAAAAAATAAGTGTTTGACAAAATATATAGCTTCTAGCTCTAAGATCAAACTTAGCACTAAAAGCTTATTTTTGGTCTTTTGACAGAACAAACACAGTACAAAGTTGAGATCTGGAATCGTCTGGACTTAGACAATTTTGGATTTCAGAATTTATGAATTTTGAATGATCAATTTAAATCTAGTAAGATAACAAGCAGACAGAATATTGGGGCTTCACCTATTGTTTTAATGTTGGAGAGAAAAATACTAACCCTTCACAACCACCCAAGAGCCAAAAGTGTGATCCTGGCCAACATGAATCAATGTACTGTCATTGGCTACAGTGCCATGCCCTTAGCCAGCAAATGCATGAAAAACATATGCAGGACTATCAGTTAAATGGGAAAGATATCACATTTATGGCACACAAGCTTCCTTTTTTTGGGGGGGGAGGGAGGTGCTATTCTTCATTCCTAGACTTTGAAAAGGGAGATGGAGTTATTTTATATTTATTTATTTATTTATTGGCTAGTGCTGCAGAGGTCTGAATATTGGACATCTGAATTTCAGACTTAGTACTGTATAATAGCATAGTAAATATTTTGAGATAAATATTTCCAAATATACAACAAATCACAGAAATAACAAACTCATATTTTAGCTAAATTACATTCCTTAATAACAATGCATAGGCTAAAAACAAACATAATTTTACTGTATACATCAAAATGTTTAATTATTTTTTCAAATATTTCCATACATGAGTTACAATCATTAATGTGAAATAATTGGTTTTAATCTTTGAGATGCATTTGTTTAAAATACATGCATTTTGACTAGAACTCCAGTTAAAATCTACTACTGTTTCAGCTCATTATTGTGCATATTCTGATATTTTAAATATTTATTATTATTATTATTATTATTATAAGTATGTTTAACTTATCATAAAACAACCTAAAATGCCAAGAAAATTTACAGAATTTCTCTCCATAATAATATAAATATATTCCAATTACACATATATAATACATGGAATATAATAATAATATATAATTCATGGCATTTGTATTTAAGGTAAGTAAGCAAATAAGATTCTCTTCTTCTGCAGAAGTAAATTCAGATAGAGCACTAGTGACATGTGCCCTTCACACATGGTATTTATATTTTGAGAAAGATCATGTTCATTGACATCAAAAATAACTGCAATATTTAAAAACTTTGCCTACATATTCATTCAGTTTTCTTCTCCATAGTTTGAGTTTTTTTTTAATATATAAAAGCTAATATTTTTTGACTGCCTTCAAAAGGTGCATGTTTTTTCCCTGTAGAGAGATATTAAAAGAATTCAACTTTTCAAAAATATTGCATAAATATGGCAGTTTTATTAAAAAATAAGCATTAGAAAATATTCCGCATCTTTGTATCCTTCCTCTTTAATGGAAATTTCTAGCCGCAGTTCAAAGCTACATGATAAAACATTAGCTCAAGAGACAGTCATCATGAAGTGCTATAGTACAACAAAGACAAGTGTTCGGCTGCAATATCTTCATACAGTTTTCTAAGAAGAACCTTGCTTTCAATGAGATTTTATAACTGGAAGTATTTCCTAACAAACCTGGTAATGAAACTATTACTTTTGCTGCTGATTTCACTGCAAATTTCTGTGGCAAGCATAAATGACATGAAAGAAAATGGTGGATTTTCGACTCCAAGGGGGAAAAAGACCTCTGAAAGCCAGTGCAAACCTGGAATCAAATGACATGATGAGCTAACTTAAGCAACAATATGAAGAAAGGTTCATGGTTTTCTTTTATGGAACGAGGTGTGAGAGGTCATTCTAGCCTTGCATTTATTTCTCAAGTTAGATTGTTTTGAGGTATAGCACGACTGAGAAGGCGCTGCGGTGCCGGCTCACACACGCAAGAATGTTCTGCTCGCACATGCAAAAATATTCTGCACCAGCAGCTTCAGTTAATTATGAAGGTTTTATAATATTTTGTGGTGCCCCTGTGAAGAGGCCAAGGCTTCCCGGGTGCTGAGATGCACACTTTGGAATCCCTGGTGCAGCTATATACACTACAATATTCAGAAGATTTTCTGTATTTATTCCTGAACAACCTAAAAACTCTTCCAAGACTGGTGGATTGTCTACTGATGACCATTCTTCTTCAGAATCATCCAAATCCAGGCTTGAATCAGAACTGCTTGAAATTTGTGGTCCGGAAAAAATCCTAGGATGTCGCATAATTTCGATAAGCTCATTCTCGCAGGAATAATTCAACAAACTATCTATGCAGATTTCTTCAGCATCATATTCTATTCTGTTGTGCCCAGTTTAATGAATTTACTGAGAAAAA